GGCTGGAGCGCACCCTCGGCGCGGGCGCCTGCAGCCTGCACGCTCTCCCGCCTGGGGGCACCGAAACCTAGCCCCCCATCTGCCCCAGGGCTGGAACCCCAAGCTATTGTGGGGCTTAGGTTAGCACGGTTTGGGGGGCAGATGTTGGGAGCAAGATCTCCCCGGGGAAAAAAAAGCTCCCCACGAGCGTTGGGTCCAGGAGTCTGGCAGGGGGTAGCTGGACGCTCGCCAGTCTGAGACTGGGGAGCCCTGGGACGTAGTCACGTGACAACGGAAGCCCGTGTTGAGGGGACTAATTCAAGCGATCCCCGTGGAGCCTCACTGTTCCTCTTCCCAGGTCCCTTGCAGAAGCTGGAGTTGGGAGACTGCAGAGATTCCCAGCTCTGGCAGACGAAGCCCAGCCCTCGGACAGTTTGGGAAACTCCTGGCAGGGTGCGAGGAGTAGCGAGAACGAGAACCCCGTCACCAGCCAGACTGCGGGGTGGAGGAAGGTGACCCCAAACTGTCCCTGGAGTCTGACTCGGCCTTTTGTCCAGTCCCAAACCCTGGTTTATACAAAGCGACATTTCTTTTTAATCCATCCATCTGCAGAAAGGTGGCATTGAGCTCAGGTCTCACCCTCTCCAAACCAAGGAGGGGACCAAGGATTTATACACTGAGGGTCTGCCACGTGGAAGGCTCTGCTAAGGATATCATTAGAAGTTTAAGACTCTGGGCCAGCCTGTGGTGTGGTGGTTAAGGCACTAGACTCCCACATGGCTGATTGCAGTTTGTGTCTTGGACCCTGCGGTGTGATCTTGAAAATCACACTGGGCTCATGTGTGTGCATACCCAAAACTCTGAGAGGAGAACGGAGGAGAGGAGTTTGCAGTGTGGTCATTCCCTCCCCTACACCCGGGGACAGGGGGAGGGTTGATTTCTCACTTTTCCTCTCTGTCTCTCCCTGGTGAATGCATGCTCCCTAAGGCAAACAAACAAACAAATCAGTTTAAGGCCTAATTCCTAACGTCCTTTCATCTCCCCCCTTCCCACCTCTAGTGTCCTATGCCATTTGCGTGCCAGGAACGCCCATCGCCCATCCTTCGTCCTCTGTGTCTACCCATCTCTCAAGCGCCAGCTCATAAAGCTTCCTTGAAACAGTGCCAGCCAAATCTGATTGCTTTCTCCTCTGAACACCAGGCACACTCAGTCTGTACCTTTCTCACGGCACAGCGTGTGGCCTGTCTCATATTCTAGCGATCTGTTTACTAATCCTGTTCTTCTAACCAGATTAGAAAGTCCTTGAGGCAGAAACAAAGTTTGCTTCTTCTGGGAGGCCTCCCCCCACTTCTCCAACTCATCCCCCAGGGGCCAAGCCTGCCACCGGAGTTGTTCAATAAATATTGGGTGGATTGAACAGATTCCCTGCCTGTGGGCCGTTTGCAGGCCACTGGAAGAGACAAACAGAGTGTATGAGGTTAAACAGTAACCCGAGCCAGCAGGTGGTGAGTACTGAACGTGTGTGACAGCTATAGGGTCTCAGGAGGAAGAAGGGGCACCACAGAAGACCTCAGCAGCTTCTAGGCTTTGTGCTCTGTGTGTGTGTGGGTGGGTGTGGGAGGACAGAAGAGGGGTGGAGGTGACTCACCCTGGTTGACATCACCACAAAACAGCCCCCTTGCTAGGCACTTTACATGCATTATCTCTGATATAAGAGGAGGAGGTTGGAGGGGGTTGGAGGGGACAGTGCCCAAGGCAAGGGGAGCCAACTAGAGCATAGAGGCTGTCTTGGATCTGAGCTCCCCGCCCTCAGTCCCTGGGCACTGCTTGTTCCTGGCCTGCCACTCCCACGCTACACCCAAGAGAGCTACCCAGCACTGCCCAGTTCTGGGTGCACTCTGGTCCCACCCTGGAGAACAACTGACTGGGTGACCTTGGGCAAGGCCCTTCCTCACCGTCATCTCTGGGTCCCTTCTAGGCTGGGACTCTCTGAGTCAGTGGCCAAGCGATGCCACCTCCCCTGAAGTTACCTGAGCTGCTGTGCTGCCTGCACTCCTCCACCCCCACCCCACTCACTGCTCCCTCCCAGTTCGGAGCTGCTGAGAGGAACACTGGGTACAGGGCATAAGCAGGGATGGTAAGTTTCCTGTGGTTGCAAAAGGAACATCGGGACTTTCCCTGCGGTGCCCTAGCTGTGGGAGAAGTGGGGGAGGAGGAGGCAGGGCCAACCTCGAAGGAACCTCTGCTCTCTTCCCTCCCCTGCTCAGTGCTCCCAGCTCTCCAAAAGGCTGGTACAGTTTGTTACGCTGGCCGGAATGTACTGTGTGTTTCATGTGGCCTCTGTCCAGTCCGACACTGGCCGCTTTATATTTATACTTCCTCCTCCAGCCGTGGCATCCTGCTGTCAGTCACCCTGCTCTCATCCCACCTCTCCCGGGCTCTCGCCCCAACCCCCACGGTGGGTCCAGAAGTGAATCTCCTGCCCTCGCAGTCCTTGGGTTCTACACCCTTGCAGGGGCTGGGAGGGTACGATGCAGACAGAACCCTGGAGGGAACCCCTAGACCCTTTTTCTCTCCCATCACCCAGCCCTGAAACTGCCTCCAAAGCTATGGGATCTCCCAACTGGGTCCAAAGAGTCTCTGGGTCTTTGAGGTGGATTCGTCTCTCCTTGACATCCTGGTTCCCAAGCACACCAGCAATTTTCTCCTGTCCAGCTAGCCAGGTGAAGGCTTTGTGTAGATTGCCTAACAAAAAAAAAGAAAAGAAAACTGGGGAAAAGGCTGTGATGCCCTCATCGGTCACAGAGAACACAGTTCAGGCCTGGAGGGTGCAGGTCTGCCCACCCCGTACTCCCAGAAGTCACATGTCCCTCACAGAGAGGACAAAATGGAATTTGACGTTGGTGACTTCTGAATGATTTTTCTGAATTGTGACCAGTTTCATCCTCTCAGAGTGGCTTCGATATTCAGAGATCAGTACATCTATGATCTGGCCAGGAGCAAGTGATATTACTTATGTACTAATTAACATTGCTTGTATGGGGGGGTGCTCTCTCTGCCCCCCTCACCCCTCCACAGAGTTTTGAACCTAAGATTGAAGGCTGTGTAGATGGGGACTCATTGACCCTGCAATAACTCTGGGAGGTAGATGCTATTATGAGCTCCCTTTGACAACTAAGGAAATTGAGGGTCTGCTGGTATGATTTTTTAAAAGAATTATTTTATTTAACTTTATTTATTTATTTTCATTTGACCAGGGAGGGACAGAGCGAAAGAGAGCGAGAGAGAGAGAAAGTGAGAAAGGAAGCCTCCAGATTCGAGACTCGAACTGCAGTTGGCCATGTGAGAGTTCATCACCCTTAACCACCATACCACCTGCCAGCCCCATTGGTATGATTTTAAAAAAACAATTATTAATTGTATTTATTTATTTTTAAAACTTTTTTCTATAGGGCACATGCACTCCAGATAGAGAGATAGAGAGAGAGATGGAGAAAGTGAGAAAGCAAGCCACCAGGTCTGGGACTCGAACTGGTCAGCCGTGTGGGAGTTCAGTGCCTCAACCACCATGCCGCCTGCTGGCCCTACTACTATGATCTTAATGTTCCTCTAAAGTAAGAGAAATAATACCCCCCTCTGTGCTGAGAAAACTGAGGAGAGAGCTGCTGAGTGACTCGGCCAAGGCCAAGGGACTTGGTAGGCTTGGACTGCCATCCGGACAGTGGCTCTCTTTACACTGTCTCTTATCTCGGAGCGTCTCCTGAGCTACAGCAGGGATTTCCCAAGATGTTCTCAAACCTGGTGACTTATCACCCAGCTCTGTCACCCCAGGAAGAGATCACAGCACCACACTACCCCTTGTCACCCTTATCTACCCCCAGGGCATGAAGCAAGGTCACCAGACATCCTGCATGTAGTTGGCCTGTCCTGTTCTCTGGCTTCCGGTCCTCCGTGACTCTCATGGGCACATTGTGTCCCCTCTGAGCTTCTTCCTCTTTTATCCTTCCTCCTCTCTCTCTCTCCTTGCTCACTGAGAGTCCTGTTTACATGGTGCCATCGTGTTGTGCTTCTTACTTTTGCTTTTTGTATTCAGATTACCAATCTCCTAGGACATTGACCAGGGTCGCGTGTGCCTTCTCCCCCTCTGGACACCATCTTGCTTCCAAGGAAGCACCTTCCATTCCTACCCCACCCCCACTCTTTGCCACGCCCCGAGCTTCTGCCAGTGTCAGATTGCTCAAGTCCCTGTGTGCAGTGGGCACTTATTGATCGCCCCTGTGTGCCCCAGGAATTGTGTTCATGCCTGGGTCCTAAAGTCCAAAGCTGTGTGCTTAAGTATTTATTAAGCAACTACTTTGTACACCGGGCATTGTTCTTCATCCTGGAGACCCCAACATTGGACTTTAGACTTAAGACTCCTGAGCTACTTGGGAAAGCACACCAAATAGATCCTTATAACGCCCTGGGATGTCAGGGACGGTGTGTGGGCAGAGCAGAGGCTTCCGGGAGAGCTCGGAGGACGAGGCATGTCTTCAACTGGGAGAGGAGCTAGCCAGCCAGAGCAAGGGTGCAGGGTGTTCCAGGTGGAAGGAACAGCGTGTCTAAAGGCACACAGGCGTGAAGCGGCCCCATGTTCTCCAGCGGGCACTTGGAGTTGTTTGGTCTGGCTGGACAAGGAGTGCAGGTTGGGGAGCCCAGGGAGATGAGGCCAGAGGCAGGCAAGCCCAGATGGTGCAGAACCTCGTGTTCCAGCAAAAGGCTTGACCTTTATCCTGGAGCAGCCAGAAGCCCAGGCAGCTTCATGGCTCCCTACAGCCTTGAGGCTCAGGGCTGGGCCTGGGCCAGGCCCAAGGCACTCTCCTCTGAGCCCCTGTTAACCTACATTTACTGCTCTTTGGCTCAGCAAGGCCGGAGGGAGAGTCAGAAGCTTAAGTATAATCAAGCACAGTCCTTCACTCATTCATAAATGTTCAGTAAGCTCCGATGTTTGCCAAGTGCTAGTCTGAACATGGGAATGGGTCACTGAGTTCCAGGCTTGACTGGGACTCTCAAGAAACATACATCCTTGTTTTTTGTTTGTTTTTGATCCTTGACAGGTGGGGTGAGATGGGGGAGGGCAGGTCATAAACAAATTGAAACAAATTGGCAGGACAAGTTCAGCCGCAGTAAGTATTGTACAAAGAAGGAAATCGACAGTGGTACAACAGTGATGGGGCGTGCTGGGTAGTCAGGGAAGGCTGCTCAGAGGGAGGGTATGTTTGGGCTCGGGCCTGGATGACAAGAACAAACCGGTCACGTGAACATCTGGAAACTGAATGTTCCAGGCCTATGCCAAGACTTTGAGGTGTAAAGGAGTTGTCCAGTTTATTAAAAAAGGCTAGGTTCCAATGCAAAATAGTCCTACGTAAGGATTATCTTACCCATTTTGTGGAGATGGAAAGTGAGGCTCAGAATAGTTAAGTTCCTTAGCTGAAATCACAGCTGGTGGTACACCTTTTGGCTCAAAATCACTGCTCTCCTCTACCAAAGCAGCACATAAGACAACCCAGTACCCCCAATTATCTAGGAAGGCCCAGTTTCTAACATTTCTGACGGCATTGTGGACGTTCTCTGTATTGCAAATTATGGCTTCAGGCCCTGTCAGGCGCTACCAGTAAGATCCTAGATGAACACTTTAGTGCTGGAAGCTTCCATAAATAGGGTGAGTAAGGATCCCAAGACCCTGGGCTTGCTGGGAGGACTGAAGATCACCTACGTTAGGGTAGGCGGGAGGCACAGTGCCTGGCATGTGGCCCGCATTCGATGGTTTTCTTGTTACCTTGGGACGCGGAGGCCGACTGCAGAATGATCCTGAGGCTGAGGAGCTGCGGCTGGAAGGCATGCACCCAGGAAGACCAACCGTCAGGTCTCAGGTGCATGCGGGAGACAGGCGCGGGGTGGAGAGAGCAGCGGCGCCGCTGGGCCCCGTCCCCCTTGCTCAACCCGGCACTCCTCCGCTAGGATCCCACGTTGACACATCTCGTACTTCCCGTTTCCAGGGGAATTCCTCGCCACAGGACCCACCTCTCTTCAGGACCTCACGAACTCTGGGCAGAGCGGAAGCCAAAGTCAGGGACTGGGAAGGGACAAGCGCTAGTCTTGGAATGTTCCAGGAGCCCCTGAAAGGAAGGCAGCCACGGTGGAAGCCTGAGGTCCCTCTGGGAGCCTGGCGTGGCTATGGAGACGGACGTTTTTCAGAGCAGGAGGGAACCCCGTGGAGTACGTGACACGCCTGCCCCTCCAGCTGCACACGGTGTCAGCAGGACAGAGACCCCTCCCCACCCGTCGCTGGGAGTCCCCTGCTTCCTGCTCTGAGGCTGGGAGGCCCTGTCCCCGCATGTGCACGTGCGCGCAGACACCCGTCAGGCACCCCCTGAGAGGGCCAGCTGCAGCTGGGGGTGGGGTCCACTGAGGACTGCCAGGGCTCCCACCCCCCTGGCCCCCAACTGTGAGCCGCCTCTAGGTTTAAAGCAAAAAGCAAAACCCTGCTTGGTCCTTCCCGCTGCTCAGGGAAGCGGCCCTGCCTGGGGCTATTTTTAGCAGGGATACAGGGAAGGCACTTTTCTCCTGGACTCTCACTGGGGATGATCCCCACCCCCCAGCCGAGACTCAGGCCGGGGAGAGGCCCATACGGAAACTCCCCTCCCAGAAAGGGGAAACTGGTGTGTTTTCTGTTCCTTCCACTCACCAGGACAGGAGTTGCAGTCAGGCCTGGGTTACAGGGACGTGAGATCCTAGGTTCCAAAGCCCATGGCTCTGCCCCATCCCTGGGCTCTGGATCCCTGTAAGCTGGGAGAAGAGGCACTCAGCGTAGAGTTGAGGTGTCCAGTCTGTGAGTGTTGGTGTCCCTGCAGAGACACTTGACCATAGCCAGATACTGTGGGCCACTTGGGGGCCACTAGGCATCGTGAGTGGTGTTTTCACAGGTGTTGGTTTAGAAGTCATTAAACCAAGCATGTCAGCTCTAGGTGCTTTTCCGTATGTGTGTGTGTGTGTGTGTGTGTGTGTGTGTGTCTTTTAAGTGCTAGAAGTACTTTATTGAGGAAACATTGACATTCTTGGGGAACTTCAAAAAGTTCATGGAAACAGAATTAAAATACAAGCTTAGGTGAGTGCAAAAATATTTTTAAATTTGTGAATAACCTTTTTTTTTTTGGAGAGGTTTTTGCCATAGGGCGCGTGAGCTCTCCAGAGAGAGAATAACTTTTTCATAATATACATTTTCCATGAACTTTCCAAAGACCTCCCTGTGCCTTCTTTCTTTAAAGAATTATTTTATTTGACTTTTATTTATTTATTTATTTATTTCAAATTTGACCAGAGAAGGACAGAGGAAAGTGAGAAAGGAGCCAGGACTTGAACCACAGTCGACCATGTGGAAGTCCAGCATCCTTAACCACCACGCCACCTGCCGGCCCCCTCCCTGTGCTTTGTACATACAGTGAAAGGTACAGATGTCAAGTGCGCAGTTTGGTCAATTTTGACAAACGTATGTGTCCGTGTGACCATCATCTAGATGAAGATTTCGGATACTTTCGCCACCCTTAACATCCCTCACGCCCCCTTCCAGTCTGTCCCCACCCCAGAGGCAGACACAATTCTGATTTCTATCACCATAAATTAATTTCATGTGTTACAAAGTTAAAAAGAAATACAGCCACTATTGAATACAGCCACTATCACAGCAGAGGGAAGTGGCCAATAAAATTCTTTTTTTTTTTTTTGGAGAGGTTTTTGCTATAGGGCACGTGTGCTCGTCAGACAGACAGAGAGAGACAGAGAGACAGAAAGCGAGAAATCACCCCCCAGGGGGGGATGACCACGCTGCAATCCCTTCTCCTCCATTCTCCTCTCGGGATCTTGGGCACGCACGCACACGCACCCTGCGTGAGTTTTAAGCCACCGGGTCCGGGACGTGAACCGCGGTCGATTATGTGGGAGTCCAGCGACATAGCCATTACACTAACTGCTGGTTCCTGCCAATAAAATTCTTAACACAGAAAGGGGATCTCCAAAAAGGAGGGTTATTCAAACTTTAAAAGCTAAGGGGTCACAGGAACAGCAGAGGGAATAATGACTGCATTGCTGGACTCCCACAGAGCCCACCCTGTTTCTTTCTCTTTTCTTTTTCTTTTTCTTTTTTTTTTTTGAGAGGTTTTTGCTATAGAGCACGTGTGCTCACCAGACAGCCAGAGACAGAGAAACAGAAAGCGAGAAATGAAATCACCCCCTGGGGGGACGGCCATGCTGCAATCCCTTCTCCTCCATTCTCCACTCAGGATCTTGGACACGCACATACATATGCTCCATGTGAGTTTAAGCCACCGGGTCCGGGACTTGAACTGTGGTTGACTACAAGGGAGTTCAGGAACATAGCCCTTATGCCACTGCCAGCCCCAGCCCACCCTGTTTCCGGCCCCGGACTGGTTGCTTGAAACTCACGCTGGGCATGTGTGCATGTGAGCCCAAAATCCTGCAAGGAGAAAGGATTGTTGCTTGGCTATCCCCTCCTGGGGGTGATTTCTCACTTTCTGTCTCTCTGTCTCTGTCTCTCTGGTGAGCACATGTGCCCTATAGCAAAAAAACTCTCTAAAAAAAAAAAAAAAAAGCAAAGAGAAAGAAAAAGAGAAGAGGAGAGAGGAGACAAGAGAGAAGAGGAGAAGGGAGAAGAGAAAAGAAACTAAGAAATCCCTGGCCTTGGAAACAGCAGTTTGGGGGCTAGCCCCCAGAGTCGGCACCAGAGAGTTGCAACACTTTTTGCTTTTGTGTGTGTGTGTGTGTGTGTGTGTGTATGCACGCGCGTGCGTGTATACACACTTGCCAGAGACAGAGAGGGAGAAAGCACCCCTCGATGGAGTCTGGTCACCCTGCAACCCCTTCTCCTCCATTTCTCTATACTGGCAGATTCTAGGTACATAAGAACACATGTGCCCAGAAGCCGCTGGGGCCGGAATTGAACCACTCTGTAGGCCATGTGGGATCCAGCTCCCCCATCCACTAGGCCACAGACTGTTCTGGGACACTTTCTGGGGAAGAGAAGCTATATGGCAGGCAGGGAGAGTGAGGAAAGGGAGTCCAGGGCTCCTCTGGGTCCCCCAGAATCTGTTTCCCTCTTCCAGCAAGCAAGCCCGAGGCTGTGAAGAAGGGCGTTCTCTGGGGTGTCCAGCTTGGGACAGGGAGAAGCGAGGGCCTCTGTGCAGCTAGCTTATCGGCCCTGCCTTCCTTCTGAAAGGTCCTCTGAAGGTCTTTGTGATCTGGGCCTCCTTCCCTGCGTGTCCTGCCTGGGAGGAGAGAGGCTGTGCTCTCTAAGGAGAGCAGTGGGGAAGTCACACACAGCTCCTCATTCCTTCCTCTCTTCCTTCAAAGACAGTCACTCAGGGGGCCGGCAGGTGGCATGGTAGTTACAGGCACTGGACTCACATGACCCACCGTGGTTCAAGTCCCAGACCTGGTGACTTGCTTTCTCGCTTTCCCTATCTGTCTCACTCTGATAGAATTGTAAAATAATAATAATTCTTTCAAAAAACATGTATCCAGACCCCCTCGCTGTGCGGTGTCTTCTGCCGGGTGCTGGGGATAGGAGGAGTTTTGACTTGCTAGGGAGTCAGAGTTGGCATTCCCAGGGAGGCAAGGCCTTATACCTCCTTCATGTTTTAGAGGAAGGGCCCAGAGATGTAAAGTGACTTTTTCAATACCACACAGCTAGCTGCTGGCAGGAGGAGGCAAAGAATGGGAACCCCCTGATTCAGTTCTTGTGGGGAACAAGAGGGCAAAGGATGGCTCTGCTGTGGTGGTGCGTGTGGTTGGGTGCCGCTGTGCAATGCTGGTACCACGTGGGAGACCAGGGTTTGGGTCCCAGGCCTCCCCAAACACATTGGGCGTATGTGTGAGCCTGGCTAGCTGGGAGACTGGGGGAAGGATCGTGACATGGCAAGCCCCTGTAAGGGGTACTGCCCCCACCACCATAAGTAACTATTGCGTTGTCAGAAAAGCCATGACTCATTTTTGCATAGAAAAACATGAAAACATATGTCATGATTTTTCTGATGATCCAATAGAAAGAGAGCATGAAGGAAGCAAAATCGGCTCCCCGACACCCCAGCTTTCTCCCTCGTGGGCCTTCTGGGGTAGCAGAACGGGCTCTGATCTGCAGCCAGAAGGCCTCATTTCTGCTTCTAGGCCTTAGAAGCCCTTGCTCTCTCTGAGTTCTGGTTTCCTCCCACTGACACGCGACTCCGGAGGGCCCTTCAGGATCCTGTGGCTCCACGTTTCTTGGGCATACCCTGCACTTCCTTGCCTTAGGACAGCCTCAGCCCCTTCCTAGGGCAGTCTCCTAACCATTTATGACTCAGTTCAAATGTTGGCCCCCAGGGCTGGGCCCACAGCTCAGCAGCTAATGTGCATAGAAAGTCAGAGACCACCTGGTCAGCCACGGTTCAAATCCAGACCCCAGAGGTTTGAAAAACTCATCAGGCATGTGTGCGTGTGTGCCCGAAGTACACGTCCTCTGGGGTAAATAAATGATTAAATAAATAAAACCAGTGCTGACCCAAAGCCCTCCAGTCGTTGGGGATCTGGTGAGCAGCGTCCCCCACGTCTGCACTACGAGAACAGACAGAGCCTCCCAGTTGTGCAACCCCGCCATCCTAGGACAGGGTCTCCCCCCAGGCAGGCACCTGTTTGTCGGCCACTTTGGGAGACGTGTAAGTGAACTCATGCTCCCAACCCGTACTCCCACAGGCTCATGTCCGACTTTCGGAGACTGACTCATCCTTCCTCGGGGCCTCCAAGACAACGTGCCTACCTGCTGGGCAGCCCAGCCCAGGCCGAGCACCAACCTGCGGCACTTTTGGGAAAGGTGGCTGCCCTGGAGGTGTGACCGCAGGAAGGATGAGCAGGACAGACAGGGCCTCGGCCAGAAAGATGGCTGCCCCACCTCACTTCCCGTCCATTCACAAGCACCTGGGCAGAAGTTCTCCCTCACGGAGACCAGCAGATGGCATAATGGTTATGTCACTGGCCTCCCACGTTGTCGACCACAGTTTGAGTCCCGGACCCGGTGACTTAAAACTCATGCCAAGCGATGTGCGTGCGGGCCCAAAGTCCAGAGAGAAGGGATTGCAGCATGGTCATCCCCTTGGGGGGTGATTTCTTGCTTTCTGTCTGTTTCTCTCTGTACATGCCCTATAGCAAAAATCTCTCTAAAAAAAAAAAGGAAAGGAAAGGAAGAAATCCTCCCTCACAGAGAACATAGCTCCTGTTCCCCCGGCCACACCCAGACCCACCCCATCTTCCTGCCCACAAACAGACCAGCAAGTGCACAGAACGTACCCTGCTCCCCTGCCTCTCCCCGGGCAGGCAGCGCACATGCACATTCGTCACACATGGGCACGCACAGACATGGATACACATGTGCAGGTGCATACATAAACACGCAGTTTCACACACACTGACTGGATGCTCACACACACACACAGACACGGGGGCACACATTCATTATAGACATGCGCGTGCAGAGATGAGAGACGGAGAGAGCGCAGGAGGGAAATAGAAGCGCACTTCTCGCAGTGTCTGCTCACGTCATCGTCCTCTCCCTCCAGGTCTCTAGCCCAGGGGTTCCTGGGCATTCAGGACATGCCCAGCAGGTTTCAGGCTCACTAGGCCGGGGACCCAAACCGTCGCTGCCATGTAGGATCCTGGTGCATCTGAGCAGTGTGGTACCACCGACCACAGTGCTGGCCCGTCACCTGCGTTTATTTATTTATGCATTTATTATTTTGCCAGAGGACACATGCGCTCACCAGAGAGAGACAAAGAAAGGGAAATGAGAAGGCATCTGTCCTGACGACCCCCCCGTGACCTCTTACCTGGGGCAGGTGTCAGTACACACTGAGCAAACCTTACAGTCCTGCCTCCAGGGACACAGACCTGCCCAATACAGGTGAATTGCGATCGATGCTGACAAAGCGTCCCGTCTCAGAGCACGGGCTGGAGACATAGTCGTTCGACCAGGGGTGGCAGCGAGGGCTTCCTAGAAGTGAGATTTGGGCTGAGTCTTGAAAGGTTTTGATAATCAGAGGGAAAGGAGGAGGGCAGAGAAGCCCAGAAAG